ATGATATATATCAGGGCATTCATAATTATCAAAGTAAAAAAATTATAATTATTATAGCAAAATAAGAGAAAAATGCTCCCCTTTAGAATAAGCATAAGTGAAAACTTGTTCATCAAAGAAAATATGTACAAAGTATAAAAGTATAAATTATGCATAGTAATTACTGCCAAGCAAACCAATAACTATTCAAAAATTTTAAAACAAGAATTTCAAAAACTATAATGTTACTCCCTTTTTTTGACACCAACAGAAGCTAAGTTAAAGACTACTCATCTTTGTCTAAGGTTATTTCCAAATTTAGTCTGGTAAAAAACTTTTGGTACTTGCATTCAAAGCATGCTTGTTGTCTGAATGAAGCGCATAGAACTCGAACAATGCAACCAATAGTGAGAGTAAAAACATTCTTGTGGTCAAATTACAAGGCTTCTAAAGTTGGTTCAGGAGCAGGAGATCGAGACAGGGGAAACCTTTAAGGAAATCATAAAAGAAAATAATATCTATAGTAAACAAAAAATTGAAAATTGAAAGAAGTGTCATAATGAAATTTTTGGCGAGGTTAGTAAAGAGCATTGCTGATAAAAGGTAAAGTGGGTAGAGGAGATAAAGTTTGTTAAAGAGAGTGACCCACGACATACAAGGGATAATCTTTATTAATGCTAAAGACCTCAAATTGTTGATGTCAAGCAAACCACATGTGCTTCACATCCTAAAGGTAGGCAACCTTCTTTTCCTTCCATTTGCAAACTAAATGCTACACAACCTTGATCTTGAAGTGAGCGATGAAGAACTTGGTCCAAGGTTGGATCATGCATGACCTTCCTTGCCCACCAATCATGAGAGGAAATTATGAGAGGTTCCTTCGTAACTTAACTCTAGGGCAACTCAAAAATGATATTCATCTTCAAGCTCATGAGACGATGTTGACCATAGAGATCGAGGGGGTGGACTTCAGTGAAGGTGCGTGTTTGAGGGTGGATGGTGATGAGTTGCTCATCCTTGTAGAACATCTAAAGGTACTCCTTCGTGTTATAGTAAGGAGATCACCTTGTGGAGTCATACACGGAAGGCTCCCAAAACTCCTCATTAGTCGTGGCCTCCTCAACCAGATGACCATGCTCGACTTCTTCCTCATAATCAACACTTAGGATTTCAACATCCTCTCTTGGTAGTATCGCAGAAACAAAAATGTCAAGGTTGTGAGAATAAAGCAAAACCAAGGAGGTCTCAATGCTCAAAAGTATAACCTCAAATGCAAATACATCAAGTGACAATTGTGCACTGTCATTGGCCAAGTCTATGGTCAGCAAGGCAAATTGAAAGACTTATTCAATAAGGGAGGCAGATTCAACAGATGCTACATCTTAGACTAATGGTGTTGAAGTTGTTGGTCAGATTGGTGGTGCAAGAGTTGCTTCAAAAACTAGTGGAGTAAGATCTACTTCGTCTACGATTGTTTGAACAACAAACGCATCAATCTAGGTAGGTTTAAGATCCTTGTCCACATTAGACGATTGTTGTGCAGATAAAAATACCAGAGTCTTAGACCACCCTAATTAGATGAAACTATTGTGGCGGTGAGGTCTTCAATAGATAGACGTAGTGTTTCCTCAAGCATTTTGGCCTCTTCAATGACTATATCTTCATTATTCTTTCTTTGTTTTTTTGCCTCCAATTGAGACAGAGTCTTTACATGCTTAAAGAGCCTTTGCTCTTCCTTTTGTGTTTGAGGCTCAACAAGTCCTTGAATTAGACAATGCTTCTATTGGATTTTGGGGGAAGAGTGGTTTCTGTTGTAGGTTGAGGTGATGGTGGTGGTGACTTAGGCATAGGGCGAGAGAGATGAAAGGATAATGCTTTGTCATCTAAGTCAAATGAAGACTCGTGTACTTGGATGAGGATGGGCTTAAGCACATAGATTTTCATTTTTATTTTTAGTAATGGTAGATAGACTTGTGTTTGGGTTTGAGGAAGATTTGGTTGTTGGGTGAGTTTTTGTGGTTGAGGGTGACTTTTGGTGGTCTGGTAACTAGTTGTAGGCTTTTGTAGCAAAGGCTCTTCCTTCAACTCTGTTTTGATTACCACCAAGTTCCTCTTCACTTAAGGAAACATGTGAGCAATCCCCATCTGCTTGAGGGTGGTGACAGACACATCTTCAACATCAGGACCTTTCTCCAAGGTCTTGGTGTCAAATAGTTTTTAAATTTTATAAAAAATTATAAACTTAATGTACTCATTAAAAACTTTTAATTTAATGATTGAATCATTAAAATTTAATAGATGTTATAAATTACTGAGTGTAACAACTCTTTCAAAAGTTGTTCTAAAAAAAATGGAACATTTTTCATAAATTATATTATAAAATTTTATAAATAAATATATTTTTAAAATATAAAACATATCTTATATTTACAAGAAACAATTTGAAGAGTGTATATAAGATTATTTTTAATTATTTATAATTTAAAAAATTAAAATTTAATTTAACAATAAAATTAAAAATTATGTTTGAGAAAAAAATATAATTCTTTGTTTTTTTAACATCCAAAAAAGAATATTTTTTAATGTAAAATTTAATATTGAAACATTTATTAAAATTTAATTTTGTACACTATCACTGTAAATTAAATTATATTACCAATTAATTATAAATAATTTTAATTATGACTTCCCCTTTGGGATTGGATCACTTTGTGTGGAGGAGTGATATCTCGGGTTGCTATACAGCGGCATCTGGGTATCGTTTTCTAACCTCGGGGCTGGCAGCGGAGGGGGATGCAGTCTGGAAGAAGCTTTGGAAGATAATGATCCCTGAGAAAGTTAAGTTCTTTCTGTGGCAATGCCTTCATTTAGCCCTCCCAACGAATCAGGTTCGGGCGGACAAGAGGTTGGCAGAGTCAGGTGCATGCTCGCGTTGCTCTTGCCCTCACGAGACCATTTTACACGCTCTTCGGGATTGCCCATATTCGCGAGAGGTGCTGATGTCTGGCGGGTGCAGTGGGGGGTGGTCTTTTTCTGTAATGGATTGTTTTCAGTGGCTGAAGGGGATTATCTTGCACAAGGATGCTATTACGCTTTCCATCACCTTGTGGTGGGTTTGGCGCTTTAGGAATAACATGGTGTTTAATGACGAGCTCTGACAAATTTCGGCGGTCCGTCGGAAGGTGATATTATATATGGTGGAGAACAGTGCGTATAACGATAAGAGGCGCTTATGGGTGGAGAAAGCCCTTTGGAGGCCTCCGGAGCACCCGTGGGTCAAGCTAAACACGGACGGGAGCTGGTTAAGTGAGACTTCTGCTATGGGGATGGGTGGAGTAATTCGTGATTGGGCAGGTATGTGGCGGGGGGCTTTTCGCTTGGAGCCTTACCTGATGATGCGTTACGTGCTGAGTTATTGGCCTTGGAGGAGGGTCTTTCGTTTTGTTGGGAAGGTGAGTTTAGGAAGGTGAGTTGCGAATGTGACTGCCTGGGAGCTGTTAAGTTGTTTCAAGACTGGCCAACGGATAGGGATCACCTACACAAGCACTATGATGTTATTCGACGTGTTCAGCGATTGCTAGCTCGGGATTGGGTAGTTTACGTAAATCATATTCCTCGGGAAATAAATCCAGTAGCTCATACGCTTGCTAGTTGAGGTGTAAGGAACCTAGGTTCCAATGTATTTTGGAGGAGTCCTCCAGATTTTATTTTGTTTCCGTTAGGGAGAGACTCTATGTCTTGAGTTATCTGCTTTGTTTTAGCTTTCATAATTTACCAAAAAAAAAAATTATGACTTATAAGATAATGGTTATAACAATCAATAATTTTATATACATATTAAATAACATTATAATTTTTTTTATTGTGTGCATAGTTTTTTTTAATTAAATTCAGTATTATATAAAAAATGAAACTTATTTAATATTTTACAACATTAATTATACTAAATTTTTTTTAATAAATGCAATTTAAGTATTTATTTAAAGTCACTACTAAACTAGTATTTTAACATGTGAAATATAAAAGTTAAATGTTTATTATATATAACTAAAATTTAAAATAAATTATGTATATAATTAAATATTATGTTTGAATATATAAATTATATTTAAATCTTAAATAATAGATATTTTAAATATATAAATTATATTTTAAATTTATGATAAA